TGTTTGTATCAGTATATTGTTTGTAATCTGTACAGTAAATAAAAACTCTGGTTGTACGCATCCCAAACATGTTTTTAGTGTCAGTTAGCAATAGTCCTATATGCATCCGTTGTCTAAGGTACGAAATTTCACAAAACACTATCGAAAAATGATCAAGAAATGAAAAGAATCTCACCTGACTTGTTGACAGTATAAGATCTCACTCCTTCGGAGGTCGTTTATCCAAATTTTCGTTCGTTTTAAACATATTCGTGTAATAATTTTCCGTTTAACAGACGCAGCTTGACATGTTCTTTCCAATTTTGTCCTCAAAATCAAGATCGGACGGTAGATGTTTTTAAAATCGCTGTTTTATTGCGAAAATTCGGCATTTCGCCATACAATGGCTTATTGCATTTTATATCCACATTCCCCCTATAGAGGACAATCCAAACTTTTCGAACCCCTCCCTGGAATTTCCAGGTTATCTCTTACATGATACCCTGGAAATAACTTATGACACAACCCCTCCCTGGAATTTCCAGGTTATCTCTTACATGATACCCTGGAAATAACTTATAACACAACCCCTCCCTGGAATTTCCAGGTTATCTCTTACATGATACCCTGGAAATAACTTATAACACAACCCCTCCCTGGAATTTCCAGGTTATCTCTTACATGGTACCCTGGAAATAACTTATAACACAACCCCTCCCTGGAATTTCCAGGTTATCTCTTACATGATACCCTGGAAATAACTTATAACACAACCCCTCCCTGGAATTTCCAGGTTATCTCTTACATTGTACCCTGGAAATATGGCATAACTCAACCCCTCGCTGGAATTTCCAGGTTATCTCTTACATGATACCCTGGAAATAACTTATAACACAACCCCTCCCTGGAATTTCCAGGTTATCTCTTACATGATACCCTGGAAATAACTTATAACACAACCCAGTCCCTGGAATTTCCAGGTTATCTCTTACATGATACCCTGGAAATAACTTATAACACAACCCCTCCCTGGAATTTCCAGGTTATCTCTTACATGATACCCTGGAAATAACTTATAATACAACCCCTCCCTGGAATTTCCAGGTTATCTCTTACATTGTACCCTGGAAATGTGGCATAACACAACCCCTCCCTGGAATTTCCAGGTTATCTCTTACATTGTAGGGTCTCAGAAGCGGCCCGAGACTGATGGAAATATTTTTCAAGTACTGACCGACCTTAACAGTTATATTTTGCACGATGCTTAATTAAATTCCTAAAAAACTCCAGTACTCAGTAGTGTGGCGAACTAGATTTGAGATCACTTGTGTTTGTTAGTCATTTAATTTTAATCCAGTGCTTTGTTAATCCAAGCATGGTTGAGATCTTGCTAAAACGACACGATAAAAAGCCTTTATTTTTTATGCAATAGATGCTTTTCTACTCAACAAGACAATAAAAAGGTAAAGCGATTAAAAATATTTATTTTGCCTAATAACTTCCTTCAAAAATGTTCTTTCGACACGCAACAACAAACTGTACTTGCCGAAAACACTGTGTTCATGGCAACATTTATAAAAATATATGACTGAAATTAGTCTAGAAATCATTTGAATTGAATCAGTTCAGCTTATTTTTCTATCTTTCGTATCGATATGGAAGATGTTTCAACGTTTTTGATAACTTTTTCGGTTTGAAAATTGCCTTCACTCCTCAGTTTGTTTTGGCGCGAAATGTGAGAGGTCCGTATCGTGTGATACGGACCTCTCATCAACCAATCTGAACGCTTCATTTACGTTACGGACCTGGAATTACGGGTCGGAAAAAAAATAAAGTTTACAGTAATATTTTGAATACCAAATGTAAACAAATGCTTTGTTTACATACGGACTAAGTCAAAATCCAAATTATTTTTAATGCTTGTGTTGACGAAGGATGTTCCGATTCTCCACCATAGCCCGTGAGAAACAAACTTGATATCTATTCCATTTAAGGTGGTTCTAAGTTGAAAACAGTGTAGTTGTGACTTAATTACCGGAAAGGTCTATTCGTATTTCCCTCGAAGTTCATTCTGATGATTTCGATGTAACCAATTTGATTGGCTGGCTTACAACAAACGTGCGAACTCGGCAAAATAAGATTTGAAAAGCAAATTGAAATCAGTATATAGTAAAACGTGAAAAAATCAACAACCATGCACTTATAACATCTTAAACCTTACCCCAAACCTTACCCAGTTACCCTAATGGCCTAATAGACCTTTCCAAGGTTTCTACTGCCATATTGCAGGGGGTTCAAAAACATTGGGGCGAGCGCGCGGCCACCAATGGCGCCCATACTATTTCCTATTGAGTAAGTGAGAATTTTTGACATTTTCCCCTTTTTCTCAAAAAATGTCTATACAAGCATATCCAATTTTTAATTTTAGACAATCGCTGGGTTTTTTTCTGATATGTGGCCGAGATTTCTTGCTAATCGAAGGACAGGAAGTAATAAAAAACGGCGGCTTTTGTTGTACAACTTGACCGACGTTTGGGCGATGATTCTTGTTATTTCGTTTGTTTAACCGATCTTTGGAAGAATATTTGTCCATTAAGTGTGTAAGTCCTTTGGTGTCCGCCATTATTACTGTTTATATTTGTATATTTGTACAAAAATCCTCGCTCAAACGTCGGTCAAGTTGTACAACAAAAGCCGCCGTTTTTTATTACTTCTTGTCCTTCGATTAGCAAGAAATCTCGGCCACATATCAGAAAAAAACCCAGCGATTATCCAAAAATAAAAATTGGATATGCTTGTATAGAAATTTTTTGAGAAAAAGGACTAAATGTCAAAAGGTAATTTTCACTCACTCAATAGGAAATAGTATAGGCGTCATTGGTGACCGCGCGCTCGCCCCAATGTTTTTGCAACCCCTGCAATATGGCGGTAGAAACCTTGGAAAGGTCTATTGCCTAAACCTAACCCCAATCATAACACTAAACTAAAGCGAACTATCTTGGGAAGCTCCCTCTCCTTCACCAAAAACATTACCGAACCACTAAATATGAATAAATGAAAACATGCTCTAATGATGGTTTTGAACTTTTGGAATGCGGTTATGCGGTCCAAAATATCCCCGCAAGATGTAGCCTGCTCGCAGACGTTGTTATTCTTACGCCAAGTGAGGAAAAACTAAACTTCATCGATAAAAACATATTTTTCGTCGCTTGGCGTAAGAATAACAACGTCTGCGAGAAGTAGGCTACGCAAGATGAAGTACTTTTTGCCCTGCACCGATTTTGAATATCTGCGTCTCGTATCGGGACGCGAAATTCTCATATCACGCTATAGGCGCTGTTACACTGAAGCTGAGCAACTTGTCTCGGAACTTGTCTCGCAATGTCGACAAAAAATTTCAGGATTGCATTGCAAGGGATGTTACACAAAGCAATAAGTTCCATGCAACTTGCAATGATCATTATTAAAAATAGTATAAAAACAGCGAGTGCAAACATTTGTAGCCATATTGTCAGTCAAAAGTCAATAGGAAACCACTCAGTGTATAAGCATTGCGAGACTAGTTGCAAGAGGGATGTTACAGAGTTTCAGCATTGTGCGAGCCAGCGAGCCATGCGAGCCAGGGTGCGAGCCATGCGAGCCATGCACCAGAGTGCGAGCCAAGGTGCGAGCCATGCGCCAGAGTGCAAGCCAAGGTGCGAGCCATGCGAATCGTATTTAAAATTATTTAAAATAGTTAACAAGTGAAATGTAAGACTGTATATTAGTAAAATAATAGATAAAATTCAGAAACGAAATATAAACATAATCAAGAATCCAATTACAGGAATTTTGTAACTCAAATAACTCAATTACAAATTATGAAGGTGTTTTAAGATCTAATGGACAACCTGCATGTAAGACCAAATTTTAACCCAAGGAAAGAGCCAGGAAATCAAATACCACAGCTAAAAAGAACATAATGAAATTAGCAAAATCGCACAATTCGACCGCGAAATGTTGCAAACCCTGGTAAACACAGTCCTGCAAAGTTTGCAAACATTGCATACTGTTTGTATTATGTGCGGAAATTGTTAGCATTTTCGGCAAATACAATATTGTAACATATACAAAACATGCATGCAAACCCGCAAGGCTACACCTTCCGTATTCTACAACATTTCGCACTAACCAAACTTTGCATTTTCACCAGTTTTAACAAGTTCTTTACGGGAAGTTACTTTTTTACCTAGATCAAAAATCAGTCAACACGCAAGTTGTTTATTGTGTCCTGGAGATAAGATGTACTCAGTACCATTTGGTCAAGACCAATTCATTATTTATTTATTGCACATGGCTCGCACATATCGCGGCGTGGCTCGCACCGATCTGTGGTGGCTCGCAACATCGGCATGGCTCTCTGGCTCGCACTTTATGTATACCCGATGTTACACTGTGCAATGCTCTGAAACGGCATTGCAGCTTTGCCGCAATCGTTGCAAAAAAAGGGGGGGGGGGTGAATAGGGGTTACAAATCCGCCGATCAGCGCCCAAATTTGAAGCAAAATCCGCGATCCGAGCCAAAATATTAGATAAATCCGCAATCTGCTGTATTAATAAGATCCGAAATCCGTGTAAAACATTCGCCAGATCCGAAATCCGGACAATTTTTTCTGTGAAATCCGACGATCCGAAAACCTATTCACCTCCCCCAAAAAGTAGAACCTAATTCTACTTCGTGCAATGGTTATTGCAACAAAAATATTGAGAGACTTGTTGATTGCGCGGCATGATACACCTTGCAATTTCGCGCAAGTTGCGAGACAAATACAAATTGCGTAGTGTAACAGCGCCTTATAATTATATAGTATATATGACAACTGCTGAAACTATGCATAAAAAACACATTAACCGACCACACAAATTGGTCTTGGCCATCTTATCTCAAAGCACGAAATATTCTGTTTTGAGAATTTAAAACTTAAATTTAAAACATTTAAACTTTTGCTTGAATATCTTATATTTTGAAAAAACAGTATAAAGGTCTATAAACTGTAGTTTGCGGGATCTAAATTTAGTTTGCACGAAAGTTGTAAACAACACCATATAAGGATAGACATTCCATATTTGGAAAAAACGAACGTCACGGGGCAGATATTCAAAAATGTATGTCATCTGCAGTGCAGGCTCTCATTTCACCTTGAGGCTAAAGTACTTTAGGGACGGACCATTAGATATTTGAGAGGAGGGGGAGGGGGGGGGTTGGGCAATTTTTCTGTGCACGAATTTTTTTTTCATCCCCCATGCAATTGCTTGCAAGAATTTTTTTCTGCAACATTCCTTTGCACGATATTTTTTTTAAGATGACCTAAAAAATTTCCTCCGGAATTTTTACGATTTTAAAAATCACCCCTAGTTCTTGCTCGATTTTTTTTTTCAATAGGTTTGTTGTGCACAATATTTTTTCTGGATTTTTTCTGTACGCGAGTTTTTTTTTGGTATTTGCCCCCCCCCCCTCCCCCCCCATCAAATATCTAATGGTCCGTCCCTTAAGGCCTTTAATTTCTGGGTTTCATCTCAAGCGCCTCCTCCCTCCCCCCGCCCAATATCGCCAGCTACATGCCAACATGGTTTAAAACGTTTTAGCAAAAAATTTTAATTAACGTGTATGATCCAACAATTTCCCATGCGAATATTAACGTTCAAACGAGAGACGCAACACTATACAGTATGTCATGCAAATTTTTAATCTGTCAGGGGCTTAAATGTTTTGCAAATTCTGACTTCTTTACACCAAGGTTCTTCCTCAAGGCATCTTGCGCTTTTCTTAACTCGCTTGTGGAGAAAAGCAAGCTTGTTTTAGCACGCTTCAACTCTTTTCTAAAATTCTCTTTTTCCAACGCGTCATGGCTTCTTTTCAATTTTTCCGAGAAAGAGTTAACTTCCGCAGTCAAACTTTTAATGGTTTCCGAAGCTTCCTGCACGCGAAGTACGTTGTTGGGTAGAGTAGTTTTCTTTAATCTAGAATCATTTGAGCCACATGCCGCGTCAGCTTTAATTTCTTTACATTTTGTCTGGATTTCTTGTGTTTCCAATTCCATTAGTTCGCTTCTATGAAGCTGCCAGCTTTCATTTACACGTTTGTAAATTTCCTTGTTAGACATTTTTCTGTCTTTTGAGAGTTCTTGGACTTTCTTGTTCCAAAATGTTCGATACAGTGGTTCTTTTCCCCTTCCACTTTCTATTTCTTTATCAGTAAAAATTTTTAAATTTCTCAATTCCACAGCTGTCGGTGATCGTAGTTGTATCGTCTTCGTTACCGTGGATACATGTGTTTGAGGCGTGAATTGGCTTGCCTCTGTCTTTACCAGGGCGAAGGGAGAGAGGGCGTAGAAACGGCCATACATCGAGCGGACCCATCCGTGATGCGGGCTTCGCGGGGGGTAAGACGTTCTAATTGTAAACAAATATGGCTACGCGTATATGACCCATCGGAAGGTATGCTGAAACTATTGCTTTATAAAATATTACTTGCGTAAAATTTATATGTTTTTGTTACTTTTAGCTATTATAAGAAACTTAAAGATAAGATTTAAGTAACCAAAAACTTTATTTCGAGTGTTATTTTACTTCTATACTCTGTTTAATTTGGTGTTTAAAAATGGCCGTCGAGATGTTGTAAGAGAGTGTTAGCGCGCACTGCTTCCTGATAAAAACCCAATGATTTCCAAAACCTAAATTATAATTTGTTATTAAGTTATGATGAAAACCTTTGCGTAGACAAAATTATAGAGTGATCAAATATGAGACAGATAGGTTTTGAACCTTTTAAAGTTCGATGTCGAATTGACAGTTGAAATGTTACCAAACTCCAAGCTGAAATGTGCAACTTTATCGTGTATATTTTTGTCAATGTTGTTTACTGGCCTTTGTTAAATTCACTTGCAATGGTTCGACATAAGTTACAACATACAAACTGAGCAGAGCCCATGAAAAAGCTATCCATACCCCTACAGTCATTCAGCTTCCTTGCTATTTAGAAGTGCATGGTTGCCTATTAGTCGAAGAAGAATTGCTATTGTATGCGCTTGTTTGCACTTCCTTTCCTAAAAAAAGTCTACAATATTAAGGCTAAATAGCAGAAAAATATGACCCAATAATCCATGCAATTAAAAATATCTATCAAATTAACTTCAAAAATCATGACCATATATCTATTCAGGCAACTCATAATTTAGTGACAGGTCTTGGCAAGGTGAAAGCTGAAAGGAACCCTTAAGATGGGTGTACTACAAAACTATATTGACTGAAGTTTTGGAAACATTTAACTAAATAAGGATTGACTTGCAAACTGTGATTCAGTATCATGGAATTTTACACTTCTGGAGAAGTTGTGGCTCTGTTAGTGCCATTTCTTTCATTGTTTATATATCTTGCTTTTAAGCATTGCTCGCTTATAAAATCTTTCAATTCCTTAGGGCCTGTTTATATGATCCCGCCTAGATGGGACGGGACGTTTTCATCCTGCCAAGACAGGATACTCGCCTAGTGTTTATATGGACAAAATACATTGCCGGGATGAAACCATTCGGTGCTTGACGTCATATTTTTGTTGCAATAAAGGCATCTACGCATGCCCAAAAGGGAAAAATTCATTCCGCCTAACCGGGATGAAATGTTTATATAGGAATTTTTCATCCCGGCTAGACGGGATAAAGTGTTTTTATATGGGAATTTTTCATCTCGCTTAAGCAGGATCCCGGCATCTGTTGCCGAAATCCAGTCTAGGCGGGATAAGTGGCAGGATCATATAAATACTCTTTAGCATTTGTATTACGAGCGGGATCTCGGTAAGCATCCCGTCCCGCCTGGCCGGGATCATATAAACAGGCCCCTAATCTCATCCCATGATACTGAATCACAGTTTGTAAGGCCCCATTTACATGAGACCAGGATGAAACCAACCTGGAATGAAAATTGAAATTGCATGTCAACATGTTTACATGAGACCAGTATGAAAATCACAAAATTTTCAATTTATTTCCCTTGCCAGGCAATTTTCTTTTTTAGATGACTTTTGTTAGCATGTGTTGTTCACTTGTTCCAATGTCAACATTCATTCCAGTTCTGAATTCATACTGGTCTGACTCAATCGGCTTGGCCCAGCAGGCGGAATGACTTGAGACCTCATGTAAACATCTATTATATATAATCTAATGACCAAAACGAAATGGTCCCGGTTAATTGACTTCGTTCCAGTCTCATGTGAACTGGACCTAATAAAATCCTTCAAAAGTAGGCTAAATTTTTCCAAAACTTCAGTCAATATAGTTTTGTAGTACACCAATCCCAAGATCTGTCACTAAATTATGGGTTGATTGCCTGAATAGATATAATTCCCAAATCATGATTTTTGAAGTTAATTTGATAGATATTTTTAATTGCATGGATTATTGGGTCATATGTTTCTGCTATTTAGCCTTAATATTGTAGACTTTTTTCAGAAAAGGAAGTGCAAACAAGCGCATACAATAGCAATTCTTCTTCAACTAATGGGCAACAATTTCTAAATAGCAAGGAAGCTGAATGACTGTATGGGTATGGACTATGGATAGCTCTTTCATGGGCTCTGCTCAGTTTGTATGTTGTAACTTATGTCGAGCAATTGCAAGTGAATTTAACAAAGCCAGCGAACAATATTGACAAAAATATACACGATTTAGTTGCACATTTCAGCTTGGAGTTTGGTACTATTTCAACTGTCAATTCGTCATCGAACTTTGAAAGGTTCAAAACCTATCTGTCTCATGTTTGCTCACTCTATAATTTTGTCTACGCAAAGGTTTTCATCATAACTTAATAACAAATTATAATTTAGGTTTTGGAAATCATTGGGTTTTTATCAGGAAGCAGTGCGCGCTAACACTCTCTTACAACATCTCTACGGCCATTTTTAAACACCAAATTAAACAGAGTATAGAAATAAAATAACACTCGAAATAAAGTTTTTGGTTACTTAAATCTTATCTTTAAGTTTCTTATAATAACTCAAAGTAACAAAAACATATAAATTTTACGCAAGTAATATTTTATAAAGCAATAGTTTCAGCATACCTTCTGATGGGTCATATACGCGTAGCCATATTTGTTTACAATTAGAACGTCTTACCCCCCGCGAAGCCCGCATCACGGATGGGTCCGCTCGATGTATGGCCGTTTCTACGCCCTCTCTCCCTTCGCCCTGCTTTAGACCTAATAAAACACGACCCGCGAGTTTTTTAAATGACTTCAAAAACGTATGCATAATAAGTCAAATCTTTATATAAAAATTTTTATATAAAAATCTTTATATAAAAATCTTTATATAAAAATCTTTATATAGTTTGCATAACAATGGTCTTTTGTTAAAGTGTTCTTTAGCTGGTATAAAGACGTATGCACATGACTAATTTCTTACTCAAGATTGGATAATTGCTTCATGAATTATTAATGAGTTTTTGAAATATCTGATAAAACACGACAACGAGTGTTTTAAATGGTACTTAAAATACGACTACAAAAGAATACTAATTGGGATGAACCATAGTATAATCATGCTAATTAAGATGAACAATTATATAATGCCACATGTGTTTTATCAGATATAAAGTCACTCCACGTGACATATTATGGCTGACATGATTTGCCACAAGGTTTATGAATTATTAATGAGCATTTTAAGCGTATTTCAAGTTTATAATATCTTTCTAAAGCCTCTGATAAATCAACCCTCGAAATTGAATCCAAAATTAATTATAACGTTACAATGTTCAGAAGTGGATTCAGGCAAAAGCTCAGCTTAAATATTATTAAAACTTAGTATTTGGTGATCGGGAGTAAACAAAACATTCGTAATCTTACAAATGACTCGGTAATCCTGATTGGCAACAGGCCCGTTACACGGGTAATTAGGAAAAAGTAGAAAGTAGACTCGCCTGGCCTGATTTTGATCTTTACACCTCAGCTATTTTTAACTTTATCTTCTTGCAAGTCAGCCCTTTTACGTTTTAGTACGTATACTATTTAAAACAAGCGTAGGAGGGCTTTATCAGATATAAAACACAATTGCGCAGAACGAGTGTTTTATATCTGATAAAGCACACCTGCGCGGGCTTTACATGATTTAAGAAAGACCCACCTCATGAGTTCATTGGCGAAGTAATTTCAAAAATATATATTGTCCAAGCCGATAAAATCAAAGCTAACGTTTATGTAAACTAACATGATTTTTATCACATATAAACTCTTTTGCACTTTATAGTCTAATTTTACAATCAAACGGCAATATCTTGTTTGGCCGTCGGTCAATTTTTCTGAAGATTTATGATTGAAAGAGGAATAATATATATATAAAAATTTGAAGGGATGTTTACAAGGCAGGTTTTGAGCAGCATGAGCTCCACCCTTGAATTTACTATATGAGTAAATTGTTAAACACGTCCGAAATTATCAATACGATAAATTCGCGACACATGTTGAACCCTAACCCTAACATAATCTTAATTTAACCCTAATCTAATCTTTATCTGACACTAATCTAACTTGATGACCTTTTCACTTTTTTAGACATTGAGAACACAATTCCTCGTGAAATTTGGATAAACAAGCACTCGTGAGTTTTTCAAAGACCTCAAATAGCACTCGTCCTTCGGACTCGTGCTATTTTGATCAGGTCTTTGAAATACTCACTCGATCGTGCATGTTATATCCAAATTGCACTCGAAACCATGCTATTACCTATACAAAAACGTTAGTTTGGAAGACAATACTTAACCACAATTAGATACGTCAATGGACGTATTATGCGGTTCCGTGGTCAGCGTAACTCCAAAGTCACTATAGTCATGCCTTTTAGGATCCTTCCTTCCCAAAAACTAGATATAAATCACCGCAACAACCATCCTGACAAAAGATACGATCAATTTATATATACAGCTGTTTCAATTAAGGTTGTCCCCCGAGCAAAGCGGAAAAGTCGAATACGAGCGCGAAAGGCTGCTGGGAATCGCTAATAAATGAATGAATTTATTAGCGATTCCCAACAGCCTTTCGCCCTCGTATTCGACTTTTCCGCTTTGCTCGGGGGACAACCTTAATTGAACTGAATAGCTGTATACAGATAGATTATGATATAGAACTTAAAAGGTATAACATAATTATATTCAAGTTATTCTGGTGCATGTGCGTCTGATGTGGC